TTGGTGTCAATGGAGTAATAGGTCAACAGGGACAATGACTGTTACGTCAGCTGGCTTAAAAGTCAACCATACTGGTTGAGCCTTGAAGACTTTTGAGATTCTGTTATTTTTGCCCTGCTGTTGCATTACACATTTCCTTCATATTCTCTCTTCCTCATCTTGGTGTATAAAGTCAAGACCTTATCTGTGCTGTATCTTCAAACTTGCATGTTCAAACAAGATGATTCATTCGGCACTGAAGCCGTTCCAGCCCCTGCCATTTTGAGAAGATGGAGATTTCAGCTTTCAAAATGGTTCACGTGTATGCCAAACAATCGAAAGAAAAGCAACGCTAGCTCTGTAAAAGGGCGTGGGCGGATTATTAACAAGGTTTGTTGAAGGGCCTTGTACCCATAGGCCTTTGTTTCAAGTCCCCGCAGAGAAAGTACAGATGAATTGTCTAAAACCTCGGCACAGATCATAGCAAGCCTGCTTCGCTCTGCCTGTGTAGAAATGCGATGAATAGCTGACATTGAAGTGTACTCTGTCTCTACAGCCTGTGAAAATATTTGAACATGCCTGTTTATTCTGAAGGGTGCACCTGGCTCTTATTAACTGAAGGAAGTCGAAGTAGCAGCTGTGGAATTTGGCTATTTTTGCATGAAATGTGTGAAACAATCAAGCACGCCGCACTCGCCCCACTGTGGATTGCAGATACTCCATAATCAGAGGGAAAAACCACTGCCTTGCTGTCAGTTTATCTTTAAAGTTCAATTAATAAACATGAATTGCAGCGAACTGTGAAATGTTAGTTTGTTTGACGTGGGGCTTGTATATGCGCTGGGTCTTTGCGCGATAACCCCTTGAGCGGTGGTTAACTTTAAAATACACAATCTCTCTATACGCTGAGATTTGAGGATGAGGCGTTCCGCAACAAGGGGTGCCTTGTGTGGATCAGGCGAGCGCAGATGACGGTTTGAACCAGTTTATATTAGGCAAGAATCAGTATCCCTGGAATGTGTCCTCCCTGGTCTTAATTCACAGGCCGCTGTGGCTTCGCAGCTGTACTTTTTCTTTTTCTTTTTCTTTTTTTTGTGCGAGCATGTGTCTGTGGCTGTTATCTGCAGCGGTTTGTAATCAGATGCGTGGCCCTTGAGGTCTGCTCACCTTTGGACTGTGCAGGAGATGATGGTGGCTGCAGGGCGGCGCTCTGTGATTGATAGAGCGTCCATGCCTGCTGCTCCTGTCACACGTTGGGCTCGGCTCAGAAAGGAATGCCCCTTTTTGACTATGATGATGGATTTGCGGGCGCAGGTAGCGCTTTGATGTTCTGCTGTGCTTCCTGTGGCGTCCCTGGGGTCCAGATGACGGTTTTGAATGCTGATGTGTTTGTGAAATTGGAGATGTATAATAAATATAATAAAAAGAGGGAGAGTGTAGGCAGATGTATGTTGACAGAAATTCTGGTAGGTGCCTCTTTCTGGTGCACATAAATGGGTTTGTTGAAATTGGTGCTGCTTCTTCTGACCTTTTGCAGCCCCTCTGTGTCTAAATACAGGTCTTGAACCACATCTCTCCTTCAAAGCCTTTTCTATGACTTTTATATAGTCTGAACCTCAGGGAACAGTTTTTCTTTTTTATGTCAGGAAGGGTATGTCGTAGCATCTTTGCTTTTGAATGTTAATGACCTGCTTTTTTGACTCTTCCATTCTGAGCTAAATTCCCCTCTCCACAAGTAGCCCATTTACACGTAACCTTCCACTGTCCTTCGTCATAGATCCCTAAAGAATGAGCTAGGTTAAATGGTTCCTGTGCTCCAGATACACACACACACACACCTTTCCCCTTTACAGTCACACTAAACCAAATGTTATGGGAAAATGGCATTTTCTCTTTCTGGTTTTCATTTCATTTCATTTATTTATTTTAAGTATTTTTAGGATGTTCTCTTATCTACATTAAATAACTGTGGAAAATCTGGAAATATTATGAACTTTTAAAGTTGACTGGAAACGTCATGGAAATTAATAATCTTAAATTCAAAATTCATGCATGGAAAAAACAAACATTATTATTATAGTTTGCGCTACTTGCGTTTAAATTGGCTTGATATTGCGGTTTTGAACTGCTTGGGTAGATTGCTGTAAACATAGTCTTTGTCCAAATGTTTATTAGAGAGAGGAAAAAAAACTATATAAAAAAATAAAAATAAAAAATATGTTCCATTTATTAAAAAACTGCAGTCAGCAGACCTTGCATACAAATGGATATTCTGTCCAGCCACCCATATAAAATGATTCTGAATGATTCTTTCCAGTAATCATGAACACATGGAAATGGCACTGAGAACTCATTGGTCAACATGTGGGGAACCCTGTATCTAGCTTCCTGGCTTGTCAGGATGTTTCTCTGCATTAGGCACGTTGTGTTGCAGAACTGTAGGACATGGCAGTGGCAATCAAAACTATTTAATTAGTCTGCAGATATCATGTAGGTTGAGAGTTTCTCTCGATTTCACATGAGAGAAACTGAGATTAGATGTGCTGTACATTTGAGAGCGCTCCTGCCTCCACCACACCCCTCTCAAGGCATGCAGAAAAACACAGAAATAAATGTGGCACTGCAGTTCTAGCCCTGTTGCTAAGAGTAGGATGCCTTCAATCATCTCTCGGTATGGTGTGGGAATGCAATCAGTGGCATAGCACTACTCGGTTACCTGAGATGTACTAAATAAAGTGACAGCCTTTGAACCACCGCTCTTCTTACTTGTAGTGCCATAAAGAATCACAGTGTGTACTTTAAAACAAGGTTGTATTTTTAGACGTTTTGTTTTTGGACTGTCGATAACACTTAATGTTCTCATGTTACCGTTATCACTAATTACAAAGACTTTGCTTTGACTGCGAGGCTGTGATTGTAGATAAGTGTTGAGTAACCCTGGTGTTTTGTGCAATGTTTGTCTCCGACTCCCAATTAAAATAAAAAATGAATGCAGTTTTTCCATGTGAATGTAGTTTATTTAGACAGAAGAATGTCTTTGCCACTCATGTAATGCATAAATAAACATCTCAACCACTGGCATTTTGGCAAACATGTGACTAGATAATATTACCACACTAGCTTTGTGGGCTGACTCAGCCCTTTATTTAGGATGCTGTTGACACTACTTGTTTTAAGCAGCACTGTCTGGTCTATCTGAGGAATTTAATCAATGGTATATGAGATCCACAGTTAGACCACGTAGAGGCTGAAGACACTTCTTCCTTTTTTTGAGGTTTTGAGACCGGTTCCATGTGCACCCAATAAACCTTGCTTTAGAGCTCTGGTAACACTCAGTGAAATGGTGCCGACCTTTGACCCTGCCCCTCCAGGACCCTGTATCTGCTATCGCTCTCTAAACATTGCGTCGGAGAACTGACTTTTCCAGGCCATTGCAAGTCAATCCATAATGGTTGATGTGACATGATTTAAATGGCATTGACGGTAAGAACTAATCTATTACACCCAAGACACTCCTGCTGTTGTTCATAAACCGAACTTGTCAATATTGTAACACAGAGGAGACAATTCTTGGCATTCAAATTTGAATGAACAAACACTTTGCGATGCATGGACAGCTGTGTTGTAAATATTCTCCCTTAATCTGTTTATTTGGACATTATTCCTAACCCTCTGCTTTCTGGTCGTCTTCAGTTGCATTAATTTGTTGTGAAATCATAAAAAGTGTTTCAGCAGCCATGTGCCCCTTTAGCTTGGCCATTATAATGGCTGCTTAACCTTTCTCCAGCAAAGCCTCTCTGATTGTGTTGCAATTTTGCCAAAGAGATGGGAGAAGTGCACATTCTGGCTTCAATTTGCTCAATTCATTTGCAGCAGAAGCCGCTCGTCTCGTTTCAGCAGTTCGCATTTAGTGCAAACACATTGTTTACTTTGCGTGGTTACTCATTTGTTCTTATGAGTCATTCCAGCACCACCTGACCTCTTGCCAATGCGCCACGCCTACATGACGTAGCTGCTAGTGTTCTAAGTAATTGCGTACTTTAAGACACAGCCGTCTGAAAACAAACATTTCATTTGCCTGTCCTCATGCAGAGTCTCTCTCGGATCAGCATGCACCGCGGGCCAGGGTGGTACATGCCTGCCAAGCCACTCCGTAAAAGCAGCAACATGTCTCGAATGCACCTTGGGTCTAGGTGGTTTTAAATGCAAGCATACCCCACCCACAAAGTCTCACAATGGAGGTTCTAAATGAAGGATTTGATCCACCCCCATTTGAATGTGTCTTTTACAGCTAGGAATGATGAATGCACTTACATGATCCTTTACTTCAGAGGATAATGCTGTAAATATTTCGTCCTCCCCTTTCAATGTCAAGCATTTCTATCTTTAGAGGGCTGTTTGTTCTTAGCTCTGACAACCCTTTTGTCTTTCATTAAATCTTTTTTTTTTTTAAGGAGGGATAATGTTATGTGTCAGCACTATTTGTGTGTGCCTTTGTGCTTTTGTTTATGGCTGTTTGTAGTGTTTGTGGTTATAAATGTGCATTTGTGCCCTTGGTGAAATCTTAGATGGAATTCATGACTTTGCATGTGTGAATGGCCACTCCATGGTTACCAGATGTCAGATGTGAGAAATATTTCTCTCCCTTTGCTTTGGGTGGTGGTAATAAGTCAATTTTATGATTGGATTGAGGTGAGCTGTTGCTATGGCTATGAAGCAGATTCATGAACTGATAAGATAATAAATCGTCAAAACCATGTGTTTGTAACTGTGCATAATTTATTGACACAGGAAAAAATTTGTTCAGCTGGAGAAAGGTCTTGTGGACCGATGTACGGTCAATGACTCAAGTGCCACTGTCATAAACTATTTTCAAAGGTTATTGTACTATCGTTCCTTCTGCCTGATGATGGCCAAATAGAGATGCTACATTAAATACTAGAAGCAGAACTGACGGTGTGGGCCACTGTCTTATTCTCTTGAATAGTAAAACCCTGACATGGCCATACTTTCTTTTCTAGGTTTTTCACACTTGCCAAGCAGTTTGTACCCCAGCCCTTACATTCCCTTGGGCCACCTTGAGCATCCACAGCTCAGCCAACATGCACTCTTTGACTCCCAAAAAGGTCTGTATACGCCTGTAAAATCATGTTTAACCATTATCTCTGTGATTTATGGGTGTGTGTGACTATCATCTTAACATTTATGCCTAATGTGTGTGTGTGTGTGTGTATATATATATATATATATATATATATATATATATATATATATATATATATATATATATATATATATATATATATATATATATATATATATATATATATATATATATATGAATCTCTCTAAACTGTTTTTATCCAGACATCAATAGCTTCTTGATCATTATAGGTGTTATCTATCATTTAGTTGTTGTTGGTAGTTTGAGTTGAGAAATACACATTTCAGAATTATCACTAATCTGTGTGTGCATTTTGCTTTAGAACCAAGCAAGTTGACTCATTAAACCATTTGTTTATTATATCGCATATCGCAATCGCAATATTGACCTCATTAATCGCAATTTTGACATTTTCCCCAAATCGTGCAGCCCTAAATATTACCAAGTAAAACGTTAGACTTTATTCTGCCTCAGAGCTGAGGGAAAAGGGCAGCACTTTGTTTTTGTTAGCATTCACCAACTAGTGCATGAACTTTTCAAGTCCTTTTGATTTCTGTTCTGCTGTACTCGCAGATAGTGCCTTGTTTAGAGTCTTTTAAAAAGTTAGTTTATATTTATAGTTAGTTTATCTTTTTATATACCGGTACTTTCTGCAGTTTAGGGCCTTTGAGCAGTCTTATCTTTTACACCAGATGTCCTTAGCTTTGTCGGGCTCACTCTTTTTACTCGTTCTTATTCTTTCAGAGGGGTTTTACCTGCCAGGTTCAGTGCACTCCCAGTCTGCACTGGCCAGGAGCCCAGTGGCTCACATGCCCTGCTCCTTCTCCAGGGAAAAGGAGGCCCTACCTCCTCACAAAAGCTCTAAAGACTCGAGCAGAGATCTGGGAAAAGAGAAGCCCTGTAAGAGTGTCCTAGGCCACTCCCTCCCAAGGAAGGACCGAGAAAGGCCAAAAGAGGAGTCACGGCCCCACAGTGTGGTGGACCTCACCTTGGATGTCATGGCAGAAGATGAGCGCAGAGCAGGCAACTCAGAAAGGTCTACAAAGACTACGGAGCACGCTCGGCCTTTCTTTCACCAGCACTCTCCTGCTCTGAGCACCACGGACACTAAGCCTAAACAATCTCACCAGAGTTTACTTGGCAACTGCGGGACAAGTAGTGGCATGCCAGCCAGACACCTGAGTACGGAACAGGACAGGAGGGACAGAGACCGGGATGACGAAACCAGCCGGCCAGGGGGCCACCTTTCCACTGACAAGCAGAAAAGATGCGATTCAGTTGCTACATCATCTGGTACGCTGCATGTGTCGTATGCCAGTCCCTCTTCCCTGCAGCCGAACCCGTCCCATCTCCCGCCCAGGCTGGTGTCCTCTGGCACCTACCCTCCCCCTCACCACATGCCGCCCAACATGTACCCGCTCTACTCTACAGCGAAAGAGCCAGGAAAAGAACAGAGAGTGATAGCTCCTACTTATGTGCCTTCTGTCGAGGTTTACGATGAGCGAAAAGGGCCAATTCAAATTGCCTCCCAAGCTCGAGATAATAAAAATGACAAGAGCAGGGAGAGGGACTTGCACAGATCAGCCCTGCAGGTGGGGAATGAGAGAACACATATGGACCATGGTCGGTCCTCCATTAGGAGTGAGTCGCCCCCTCATGGGGATGTCAAGAGAGACATTTTACGAGAGGAAGGCTCGATAATTAGGTCAAACGGTTTGGCCATGAAAAAGCCCTTGCATTTAGAAATGTGCACAAATAAATCTGGAAACAGCCCAGATGCCAGAGACTTAACCAACACTACATCAAAACACATGATCAAAACAGGACTTGAAACTGAATCCCGCAGCCAAGAGCGGGATAGGGTTCAAAGGTCTGCCCATCCGTTCTCTGGAATGGAAAGTACACTTCACTCGGAGCAGCATCCGTTGAAGGGCTTGGGTTCTGCTGAGCCCAAATGGAAGCCTTTCGAGATGGGCAATTATGCTACCAGTCACATCGCCACATTGGCGGCCCAACACACACATGGCACCCGAGGTGAGGAAGAGGCCAAGCGAATGTACCTAGATACTACTGTCTTGCACAGACCGGTAGGCAGCGGCAGAAGTCCTGAGGGCCAAAGGGAGGTTTCAGCCATGCAGAGCCTCATAAAGTACAGTGGCAACTTTTCCAACGAGTCTGGCTCCAGGCACGGATCCGATAGCCATAGTCCATTTGGAGGACTGGGCAGCATGAAGCTGCAGGCTGGTTATCCCGGAGTGTCTAGAGTTCAGCACCTTCCACCCCAGCAGCCTGGAAAGCAGTTGAAGAAGGAGCCTGAGAGACCAGAGAGTGCTAAATCCTTTGGCAGAGACGGAAGCTCTTCTCAGGGTGAAGCAGAGGTTCGTCATCCCCCCGTGGGCATAGCGGTGGCTGTTGCCCGTCAGAGGGACAACAGCAGCAAGCACAGCTCTGTATCAGACAGGGACAGGCCAATTGGAGGAGCCATCAAAGGTGCGTTGCCTCATATCTTTGCATACACTGTTCTTAAAGGGTTAGTTCACCAAAGAATTAAAATTCATTTAAATTCACCCCCATGTTTTTCTAAATCTGTACAACTGGCTTTCTTCTGTGGAACACAAAAGGATATATTTAGCAAAATCCCATGTCATTTTCTGTCCATACAATGAAAGTCAGTGGTATACATTCACGCCTTTAATGGAATTGAAGAACAACAGTCTTATTTTCCGTTGTTATAGCCCATTTACATTGGCCTGCTCAGCTGCAAGGTTTCTCCCACTTTTGTTTTTGTTTCTTAAACAGCATGAGCTTTGCTATTGCTTTGGCCCACGGTGTTTCCTGTTAGTCTAGGGAGTGTGTTAAACCTTTCACTAAGACACCGCATGCCTGACTGCTTATAAACATAATTTACAGAGCTCTACTAAAGGTGGCAAACAAGCAGCACATTCTAATATGACTTTAGTTTTGTTGCTTAGCAATCGAATCAGCTTCAGAAAGGGGCAGAAAGAGAGGTGGGGAGAAAGGCATTAATTTATGTCCTCTTGTGTGCAAGGAAATTGCTGTAATAACATTAGTCTACACACTCTGAGTTTGAATTTACATTTAAAACAAGTGTTAGGGACAGAGCTTTGCTTGACTAATTTGCCCTCTTTTTGATGCAAACGGATAGCATGTCCGACAGGCTTTTGGTAGCCTTGGAAACAGACTGAAACCTTTTCCCTGGAGCATGACAGAGATCTGTGTGCACTTTCGTCCCCCTCCTCTGTTTAAAAGAACACAATCTCTTCTCAGCCACTGTCAGTACTGAAAGGTTCAATACACTCCTAACTAAATCCCGCTCGGATACGTTCTACGCGTTTATCTTTTACAGGGCTGTGTTGTTGAGGTATTTTGAACACAAACTTCAAAGGCTCTTTTAGTTTAGTACGGTATGTGAAATACTGCTTGTTTTGTCTGATGATTCTCCAAATGGCTGCTACTCTATGAAGAGCAATTTGAACCATGGATGACGCCACAGTGGTGTTGAAACATTGATAAGTGATTGATGGGCCTCAGTGGGTTCTTGTAAATGTGATATGTTACTCTGCATAGGTTCTCAGTGTTTTTTTTGTTGTTTTTTTCTCTACACAGTCTGTCTGTAATCTCATAGATGTGTAAGACACTGAATATGACTGGTGCTGAGTGTTAGGACTGATAAAAACCCTTAGAGTTTGGGCTATTTATGGAGAAGTGTACTTATAAAGAGAAAACGGTAACATTAAGTCTTGCCAGACTGGCAGACACTACTAATGTTTGACTTTGTTTTTAGGCTAAGAAAGGTCGTAAATGTGTAAATTGGGATTAAACTAATCTGAAATGGTGTAAAATTAGATATCATTGGCAAACACTATGAAGTTAGTTCATTTATTAAAAACTGTTATCAACATCTGCAATTAGTGTAATGTCCTAACCTTGCAGGCCCAATCCACACAGTGGAAGAACAAGGAGATGAAAGGACGCGCCACCGTGACGAGCGCCTACTGTCGGGACGTGTGGAGCGTGAGCAGGAGAAAGTATTAAGGTAAGGTGAGAGTTTATAACCGCTGATGTAAAGCACCCTGAGGTAGAAGTCTACACGGTGCACCCGAGGACCCGGGTCTGGGTCTATATTTTAAATATTCAGCCGGCTCGGGTCCCAATCTATTACTTTGGGTCCCGGGTCTGTTTAACATTGTGTGTAATACCAGAGTCGATCGGACTCTGAGAACACCCGGCCGTGATCCGAGTCAGTCAGCACTGCTTGTGTGTTTTTTGTAACTTCCAACTTGTAAAATTAGGATATAAAGAAAAGTGTGAGCTGGGAAATAAGGTTAAAAAACACACAAATTGCGCTAAAAAGCTCTTCAGGTTGCTCCAGGCAGCTAACACGCGTATGTGCAGACTCAAGCGTCATGTTTCTATGACAACCAGAGCTTCTGCAGTGACTCAATGACTTTACCAATTGACGATTGGCTCTTTTACTCAAAAGCCGGGACGTATTCCGCCAAGCCACGCTTTACACTTTCTCCCATTTTTATGATAATTTGAATGAACCGTCTTGTTTAATCTTAAAGTTTTGTTGGTCATACTCGGCGCAGAGAGCACAGAGATGATAGCAAATAAATAATGCTAAGCAATCGTTATTATAATTCAAAACAAGTTATTATGCGAGTTTAGAGACAACGGCTACTAATATTAGGTAAGACAAAAAGTTTTCTTTTTCGCAACTGGTTTATTGACTTGTTAATAGCAATTTAGTGTGGAATATGTGACAGTCGGGTCTGTGCCTTCCCACCGGGTTAGGGTCCAGCTTTCAAATAATAGACGGGTCCAGGTCGGTTCCGGGTAGTATATTTATGGCATTTCTTGGATCTGCACGGGTCCGGGTCCAGCTTTTGAAATAATAGACTGGTCCGGGTCGGTTCCGTGTAGCAATTCCGTAACGAATTTTTGGACCCGTGTAGACCACTACCCTGAGCACCTTGAGTGCATGTTGAAGCGAGCTCTCAGAAAAGGACGAAGCATCATTCTAGCTGCTAATTAAATCCTATTTTTCATAGGAGCATTGAAAAACCTGCCCTTAGATTATATTTATGAACTTTCGTCGTCTTTGTGAACTTATTTCTTAGATTAACTTTGCCAAACTCTTACATTTGTAATTTTATAATGGTTTTTCACATTGAGGTTTGTCATTTTTGTGGTAAGCCAGATATAAGAAAAATTATATAATTTTATAATTGGTCCATAAAAAGTGTGTATACTTTCATATATATTTATACACACACACACACACACACACACACACATTGATATATTGGTCGATTTCATATATACCATTATTTTTCCCGATATTTACGCATTTATCCATAATCGGGTATCGGTTTTGTAATATCGAATTTACCGATAAATGCCACCATCTTGTGGGCCATTGCAGCATGGCCTCTGAGGGGAGACGATACAACAACTGCGTGCACAGGTAAAGTGTACTTAATTGCTTTGCTGTAATTAATAAACTTTATCAAACACAACAGCCATTATTGGACAAATTAGGTGTGTTAGTTTATGCAGCTTGGCTCTAAGAAATAGAGAACTCGTGGAGTCACGAAATCCATCAAGTCCTGTCCCAATAAAGACGTAACTTTACATGAATTAAATAAAACGGCCATGAATGAGTGCATGTTGGAAGTAAAAGCACTGAATTTAATTCTCTTTCTCTCTCTATGCTCATCATTAGTCTCGTAAAATCGCATTTATATTGCTGTTCACTCGCTGGGTTGATGCTCAAGAATGCTCAAGCATGGCCACCACATGAAACTTTGAACAAGATTCACTTGTTTAAAATACCCTAAATTATATTAACATTTACTACTGTATATTACCATTAATTCGCTAATAAACATCTAAATAAATACAGCTCTGTTAAAATTATTTATTATCTCCACGAGTGATCGCAGTTTGAATATAGTTCTGTGTAAATGCATAGGAAAACACCGCTTTGTCAGCTGGCATTTTATAATCTAGACTGACAAAAACATTATTAATAATTAATTCTGATATAACATACCAGTTGAGAAATGCAATAATGTATACGCTGTTTTGTTTGTTACAATGTATTATTCCAGCGAATATTTAGTAAATTAATATTATCCCGCTAATTATTCTTCACTCTTTATTCTTTCTACAAAGTTGACGTGACTCCCATCTCATTTATGTTCTCCATTTGTAAACATTAGACTTTCTACATTTATTTTGCCTATTGTTAATATTAGTGTTGCTGATGATGATATTGTAAAATGAAGATAAAAATTTAACATGAAAGACTGTTTTTAAGATGACTGAGAAGAAGAAAAACGGATTTGCTTCACTCAGTCATTGACATGGGTGGCAGTTTGCAAAGAATACCGAATGAAAATAACACAAAATAATTTGTATGTGCTTTATTTATTTTACCTGTTTGTTTACCTCATCAAAGCTTTTATTTTTAAACAGACATTTTAGTAACTGCACTTTTTTTTTCTTTGCACACTTTTAGACCCCTCTATTTATTGGCGTTTAAATAAGAGTTGTTTTGTATGCAAGGAGGTAGTGATTGTTATGAATAAAATGGTTTAAGTTCAGTGGTGTTGTAATCATTGCGTCAAAAACAGAAGTATACCAGGAAATAAATATCGGTTCTGCATATTGGTTATCGGGTATATATATATATATATGTGTGTGTGTGTATATATGTGTATATATATATATATATATATATATATATATTAGGGCTGCACGATTTGGGAAAATGTCATATTGCGATTATTGAGGTCAATATTGCGAATGCGATTGCGATATAATAAACAAATGGTTTCATGAGTCAACTTGTTTGGTTCTAAAGCAAAATGCACACACAGATTAGTGATAAGTCAAAATGTGTATTTCTCAACTCAAACTAGCAACATATATATATATATACATATAAACTTTTGACCACAACTGATACATATACATTATATATACACATATTTTATATATATATATATATATAAAATATGTGTATATATAATGTATATGTATCAGTTGTGGTCAAAAGTTTAGATGCACCTTGCAGAATTTGAAAAATGTTAATAATGAAATATTTGAACATAAGTTTTTTTTTTTTACATAAAAGACGTTTACATATAGTCCACAAAACAAAATAATAGCGCAATTTTTATAAACGACCAAGTTCAAAAGTTTTCACACGCTTGATTCTTAATACTGTGTATCGTTACCTAAAGAATCCACAACTTGTTTTGTTTTCTGATTGTTGTTAATGAGTCCCTTGTTTTTCCTGGGCAGTGGTTGGTGGTTTGGGGCCAGATATTGTATAGTTTTCAGGCATAAGAGAGCCGCTATCAATATGCGGGGTATTTAAATAGTTTTGAATGCGTGCTCACTTTTCACTTTCATTTTCGAATTCGCAATCACACGTACTCTGTGTATAGGGAGCGGCGATACTGATTGCACATTTTACAAGATAAGATATTTTTCAGTGACGATCAGGATCTGTTGTGCACCAAATCCTCAGCCATCTTCCTGTCAGTCATCTCTCCTTACACTCGTCATGTGATAAGTGAAATCTTACTCCTGCTGCACTGTACTGCGCCTCCGTCTGCTCTGCTCCATACAGCCCGAGCTGCACTTTCAGTTTATAATTGTAGCGTTTGTTGTACAACTGAACTAAATGGGGTTTTTTTTCAGTGGCATTGGTAGCGTCCACATTGCTAGCTGTCATTATAAGCCTAAATCGACTGCCATATCATCCAGCACGAGATTAATAAAAATGACTGAGGGCACCTTTTAGAGTCCCAGCATTAAAATATGGGCATTTTCCACTACTTTCACACTCCAATGCAGGTATATTACCCTGTGTGCTTTTTTGTTACACGTAGGGTGTCAACTGTGTTGGTTCAGGGGTTGTTTTGACTGTCGAACTCTGATGGAAAATGGAACAGGACGTTTTTAGTTTTCTCCAAAAAAAGTACAGCATTAAGCTAAAAAAAATGCACCTTTTGCACCTTGATGTTGTGTGGAAGCTAGTGATAGGGGCAGCTAATGCATAAATGTCCTGTTAAGATAACTCCTTAAAGTCACTTAAGTACAAATCAGTGATCGTTCAGTGTGTGGATCTTTAAAGATACTCTTTCTGCTTCCTAGTTTAAAATCTCAGCAGACATTTAGCGACAATCCTGAAGTGTATGTGCCAAAAAAGATGTTATCTTTGTTCAGGTAACTCTAAAAAGATGTTACAAGCCTGGATGAAAGTCTGCTAATTAAGGCACCCTTTTATTAATATCATTCACCTTGTAGTAAGGACTAAGCATATACATCCAGTGTGAAAGGATTCTTGTTTCTTTGATTCCACACACTGGCTAAACGGAGCAACATTTTACTTTCATTGGTCACACTCTCAGCATGGTTTTCTTTAGAGCGGACAAATTTATGGCAACAGTTCTCGGCAAATATGAGCCTATTTTCAAAGTGTGGCTCTCATTTCGAGGACTAGAAAAAGTCAGTCTTCCCCACTGGGGAAATTGGTGCTTATAAAAGTGACTGGTTCTCTCAGCAGGATTCCGCCCTCAGTGCCTGTCCTTAAGTGTAAGGCAGAATAGAAGTCATAGACTGGGGAATTTGTGTCACAGTTGGGGCTAAATGGCCACCAGTCCTACTTTTGGCCTTAAATAAGCATGAATTTTGCAATGTGAAAGCATCTATTTCATACATTTTTCTGGTCGTCAAATGTGGGCACCTGGATATTGGGCACTTAGCAGACTTTTAAAGATATAGTTAAGCCAAAAGTTAAAATGATTTACCCACCCTCATATTGTTCCAAACCAGGTTTTTTTTTTTTTTTGGAAGATTTTTAAGTTGTTCTTTGTTGGGACCAACAACTAACCAAATTCTAAATATTTTGTAATTGTGTTTTTCGGTCAGGTAGCATTACTAACATAACATTAAGGTTCGAAGGTTTCCTTTTTTTCCTTTTTTTTTTTTTTCCTTTTTTTTTTTTAAATGTTGGAG